GACGGTAATTAGAATTCCCAAGGGAGGCTGATTTTCAAATCAGACAAGCCCATCTCTCCTAAAAACCACTGGCCTAGTGAGGAGACGGTTCCTGATAAGTATTTGCCCCATGCATTAGATAGGCTGGGGCAGAAAATGTGAAAAAATCACTGGTTAAGAACAAGGGAGCTAAGGATGTACTCTGCTCCCGCTGTAAGCTAGTCAGAGAATGCTCAGGGTGTTTAGTCTAACTCTGTATACCACACTTAAAAGGATATTAAGCAAACTGGAACCCGTTCAAAAGAGAATACAGAAAGAACTTAAAACCACTCAACATGATGACATGGAAGTATATCTATTTAAACCAAGAGATGAGACGACTTAGGGAAGAGAATAAACAATCTTTGACGCACAAGCTACACTCAATTACACCATGCCATGAAACCTATTTTTGCTCATCGTTATAATAGTATATGCTGTTCTCATTATGGCAAATATCAATTGTACACACTGGTCAAAATGTAGCAACATACTTTTCAATACTTCATGGTACACCAGAACCATGGACACCAGGTGCACAGAACTCAGGCACAACAGTCAAGCACCACTGATGCAGATAAACACTACAGAAAAAGAGATTCCAAAGCAATATAACAAAAACTTTCTAAAGAAAAAAAAAAGGGTTCTCATGAAAGGCAATTTATTTGCTATCCTGAAGGTGTGGAAGAAACTCAAATGTATTGAAAGAGGTGAGGGACAGGATGACCTTTAATGGTGTCTTTGAAATTCTGAGATTCTAATGATTCTATATCTCAGTTCTAAGCCACGCTGTGCCTATTTTAAAATATCCCATACAAGCTAGAATACTGAAACTCACAGCACATCAACTAACAAGGGAAAGAGGCACTGCAACAGAGCAAAGAGAGGGATCTAAAAGACCCCACTCTGAAACCTGAATTGTGTATTGCTAGCAACACCTCAAATACACAAATTCTTAAATCAATCCAATGAGCCAAAACTTTTCTGCTCTCCCTTTATTACCAGGATTACTATTTGAAAGCAGAACTTACATAAATACCCATTTATAAAAGCAGAAAGTAACAGAGGTAAATAAACAAATTTATTCTCCCTAGAAAGGAGACAGGAGTCTGGCAGCCTTCAAGAGCGGCATCCTGTCAGACAGAAGTACCAGTCTGAGTTGGAATGAGAAAAGTCGATATTGTTTGAATAGAAAGTTACAAAAGAAGAAAATTGTCCCTGAGCATGGTGCTATTACACTATCTTACCCTCAAGAGCTGAACTCTCAATTAAAATCTTTGAATGATAAAGGGCTGAATTTACACACTGTTAGCTGACATTTTTTGAACGATGTACTCACAGATTGTAAACCTTTACATTTCCTATTCAGTAACACTTAACTTCTGTGCCTGGAGTCATCACTGGTTAAGAGTTCCTAAAAATATTCCTTCTCTGGAGATATTTTCAGCTACCCTGGAAGAACCACCATCCAAGCACAATGGATGGTTCTATTCCTCTCTCCCATTTAATCATTATACACGGAATCCCCTCTACGTCAATTAAGCATACAATACAGTGCACTACATAAAACCACAATAAGCAATACAAAAAAAGGATTAAAGCCATGAAAATGCATTAATTTATTCTACGCAATGTACTTGTAATTCTTCCACGTTCAGTCAAGATCACAGTACAGTTTAATAGTCTGGTTCAGGGACCAATTAATCCTTTTATATTTAAATCTATCACTGATTCCTCTCCGAATAGAATAATTTAGCTTCTACATGCTGCCTCCCATTTGATGTCTTTGGGGAGAGAACACAGTTAACCCTACGTAGCACATTAATCATGCTTGATAATAGCAAAAGAAATGCATTCTCAGAGAAATCTCATACCGAAAGAAGGGAACGCTCTATAACATGTTAGCATAATCAGTATGCATCCTTATTTTCTCAATTAAAACAGGGAGGTTAACCTGAAACTAAAAGTGTACCCTACATCTGGCTTTTCACAGTATGTGAGCATGCATGTACATATTTATTTTGATTATGCATAAAATATATATCCAGAAATTAAACCACTCTACACAACTCCTCTCCTCACTACTGTCTGTTTCCTCTTTGCCATCCCAACAAAGAGTAAAATGACTCGATGAGGCTTAAGCATCAGGAAGGGAGGAAACTAACAGAAAAAGTGTGCATTTTATTCAAACTGGCATGTGTTTGGCACCTTGCCACAAAGCCGTGTCTTTCTCCTAGAATAACTCTAAGGTCTAATTAATAGGGTTAATTCAATGCAATAGTCATGTCTTATCTAAAGATTTTTACCTCTGCACGTAGAGCAGGTGTCCATGTTTTACGAATATTTTCCCTAAACAAGTGTGTCAAGAAAACATTAAGAGTTAATGCGTATAAGAATGACAACAATGTACTAATGCTACTTCTTTCTTTGACCAATAGCAAGAGAAAGAGGTCTTCTTTTCATTCCTGGATCTTATTCACCACAAGAATAGCCAACTTTGTATTCTAATGGCCACACCATGGATTATAAATGAATGATTTAGCTTCAGAAATTTCAAAGCAAACATCAGCACTTTTCAAATGGTCCACAAGTGTTTTCCAAAAAAATTTAACTGATTCATTTTAAATGTAGATCCAGTACTGAAAAAAGTGGAGTTATATCTTGGCATAAAACAAATGCACTGCTGACTCAGGAGCTATGCCAGTTCAAACAATTCCAAAGGGAGGAAAGCACAGTGAATGTCAGCTCTCTGCTCACTTCACACCAACACAGAGAAGTCAAATGGTAATAGTTTAAGATCAGCTCTGTGATACTTAGTGGGAGAAGGGTTTTTAAAAGGCCATGCTACAGGCAGTAATCCAAACTCATAAGAGCACACAGCATCTAAAAACAGAAATTCAAATGCCTGCCTACAGTAACTGTCACAATGAAGGAATATTTCTCAGGGTGTGTAAACTGAAAACCTTTGAGAATTTGGTTGACAACTATGACCTGCAAATAATAATCAGGTGGAAAATATTGAGTGTTACTCCTCTCTAATCCCCAGAACAGTCACATCAAAGAGACATCTGGAGAAAACACAAGATTTTTTGTCTGTTTTTTTTTTTTTTAATAACTCAAAGTAGAACGCAACACTGCTAATCAAGATTCAGCAAGTTAACCAAAGCTCATCATCAAAAATCATCCCCTTGTCCCTAATATATGAAGTCACACCAGCTAACAAGCTACCATCAGTAGGATGCTTGTATCTTGTGTCGATTTCATGGTGGCTTGAACAAGTGTGTGTGGATTCGTTCACACTCCCCTTTCTAGCTTTCCCTTGCTAAGCAAGAATCTGAAGTGCCACACATAAACACAAAGATGGTAAGTGACCCTACAAGACCACTGCAAAACACACAAATAAACACCAGCAGTTAAATGCAAGGGGTGGTGGGAGTCTATATGTGTTTGGGTAGAACGCACTCTCTATTTCAGTGACTGTACCTCTCAGATGGTGAATGCCAACAGAAAAAATGTTACAAGTTCTTTCTGGATTCGGTTTAGGACAGTGTTCAAAACCAGATCATAAAATGCCAGAAACAGTTTTTTGAACATTGGTGGAATCTGTCCTTTTTTCTCTTCTCCGCTCTTAATGTAGCTGTCACAGTTCTGTGCCCAGAGAGCACTGGTCCCGTCTGGCTGAGACAGCCAATGAAAGCTTCCCTTGCCACAGCCCCAAAGTGCTCCTCTTAGGCTTAGCTTCTACCTGAACTGCTCGGGACAGCTGCCTCGCATCATCCCACAGCAGAAGCTGCACTCAGCTTCGGGATGGGATCTCAGGTACTTCTTAAGAGCCCTTGATGTGGTGGGTTCTCTCCTCCTCTACTAGGCTGTGTGGACTATAACTGACTATTCCTGTATCTAAGGCAATGTATAAAACCTACCCTAGAAAGAGACTAATGCTTAAAAAAGAAAAAACAGGTTTATAAAGCATCTCATTTGTAAGCCAATATTAGAATTCAGTCTTTCTCTCTCTACATTAACATACCATGTCTAAATCACGATAACAGAGTGGTTTATAAGTCACACACAGAAGAGAAAGAATTCTTGATTCTTCTCTTATTTTTCAAAGTTGAATTGGTTAATTTTAAATAGTCATTGTAAAAACAAAACAAAACAAAACAAACACACTGAGTATTAGCATAAAAAGCCTTGAAATGCCCTCCACTGGCTCATTTATTTAAAAAAAAAAAATCAAAAAAGAAATAGTTAATAGTGTGATGTAAAATCCAAAGCCAAATGGATGTAAATAATTCTATCTCCCAAAATAATAGCTGGAATAGCCATTTAAAAGAAATTTTGGATATTTAATGCCTTTATTTTATATTTTATTTTCTTTGTTAAATTCAACATTCAAACACAACTCCAACAGTACTTTGAAACAAAAAATATAATTGGAAATAAAGAACAAACTGACAGTCACCAGAAGGGAGGGGGTAGGTGGGTAACAGGGAAAAGAAGGGGAAGGGTCAAGTCAAGGAACTTGTATAAAAGGACCCATGGACAAGGACAATGAGGGGGGAGGGGGGGAAGGGGAGGGGGACTGAATGTGGGAGGTGGGTAGGGCAGGGGAGGGTAATGGGGGAAAAGTGAGGACAACTATAATTGAACAACAATAAACATATATATAATTAAACATATCTGATCAATTCATATGGAAATTTTAATAGCAAATTAGTATTTTTCATTCCTACCTGTGTACACATAAACATTTTAAAACAGAAAGAAAAAAGAAAATGCCTTTCTTTACTTAACAACCAAGTAGGGCACCCACCCAAGTTAAACATCTTATAAGGACATAAAAAAAATTACAAAAATGTCTAGCTAGTTGTTTTATAGATGTGTATACAAGAATGTTGACAGTGGGAAAATACTATTGCTTTCATTTTGATAAGTGGGTTGTCTTAGGTTAGCTATATGGTAAAATGACATTTTCTTTTTTTTTAAATGTTAAAAATTTCTTTATTATTATTTATTAAGCACCAGTTTAATACTACAGAAAATTTCAAGTCACCCTTTGACAACTTATTATTCCACTCCCCCTCAAATTCTTGATAATGAACTTTTCAAGTAAAGACTTGTGCTCTTCTATCTTCTGTATAAACTTCATGAAATAAAGGCAAAGAACCGTGTACATCTATATCTTGCTGGAAAATGCAGCCCTCGGCTGTGGAGACAGCGTCTGCCCAGGCTCCCTTTACTGTCCAGGTCCTGAAAGACTCTTGTTCATGAACTGTCTCTTCCCAAAGCAGGTCCACCACTTGCTGGGTTTATCATTCTGAGGGTCAAAACTTTCTCACAATGTCTCAGACCAGTCTCTTGTCTTAGCTGCTGTAAACAGGCCCTCATCATTTCATCTTCCTGTTTGTTTGCAGGTTTGGCATAAATTCCATTACATGGAAAACCAGGTTCTCCAGGAATGGGAAAATTAGTGGTTCCCAGTGTATACATTTCTTTCTCACCTTGGCTTTTGAAGTTACACTTTTGGAGTTTCTTTAGAAACTGAGAAATGTAGAGTGTTATGTATATCAAGGTTCTATCAGCTTCATTCTTAATTTCATAGTTTTTGAAGAAGACACTGGCCTTGAGGTAATAGATGGCTTCATCCACAATGTCTATATCTTTTGTCTCTCTAGGCGCGCGTCCTTTGAACTGACTTCTGATAGGCAACAGTGCCGTGTTTCCAATGAGTTTGGAGTCAGGATCCACGAGAGAAGAGTGGTAAGCTAGCATGTTTGCAGCCCCCCGCCCCCCGAGTTTCAACCCAGCTCTTTTCTTGACAGTCAATATAACTGAAGGTAAAATAATGTTAGTGATTAAAAACTCCAAATTAAGGAAAACATGATAATGGGGAAATAGGGGCTGATTGTGAAAAGGTATAGGGAAAGGAGTGAAGAGTCAAAAGATTAGTACAATATCTCAGAGTGAGGTGATGAAAACCTAGATTAGAACACAACAGTGAAAACGCAAAGGAAAAAACATTTTACAGGTGCACAAACCAAAAAGTATAACTTGTGATACCATATCGGTATGTTCTTGAATTAGTGATGTTTAAGACATAAACAGAATGAAGTTTTGTCTTTTTAAATATCCAGAAAAACCATTTTTCTGGAGAAGAGCAGAAAAATAAGCTGTTATCTACATCTTACTTGGAGTATTATCTTTTGCCTTTTAACTGGGAGGTGGGGGCAGTGCATCAAGTTACAGACAGCCATTATTACTAATGCTGATTTCTATTTTTAAAATCACTGGTTTTTTAATAGTGTTTTAAAAACTGAGGAGAGACAATGATATTCTAGTATTCTTGCATTGTCTCTACTTAAATCTTGTTCCCAAGGTAACAGCTAACTATTCAATATCAGGCGCTGCATAATTATTGACTACAAAGGAAGTATGCTAGAATGAGACATTTGCACTTTAGCAGAATGAAACTGACCTGCTTGTCTTTTTGCTTTGATATCGAACAAAAGTCTCTGATTTTCATATAGAGACCAGAACTTTCTACTAGACATATGCTGACAAGAATAGGTTCCATTACTTAACATGTTCTTGGCAGCAGAATGTTACTATTTTCAGTGGCATTCTATTCTAGATTAAAACAAAGACAACTGAAACCACCTTTATTTTTAGACACTAGTGACAGCCTCTTCTGGAAGAGGCTCAGCTTTGAAGTCATTCTGTTACAGCATAAATGGAGATAATTGCTCATAAACCATCATGTATGAACATATTTCCCAAGCCCAAAAAGGCTTAAATAATGTTAGTGATTAAAAATTCAAATTTAAAGAAAAAGATTAAGATAATGATTTTATTAAAATGATTTAAATTCAAATGATTTAAATCATTTAAATTAAAATGATTTAAATTTTTAAAATTTATATTTTCAGCAAAAAAGCCCAACATAAATTTTCTTGAACATATTATATAATTTCTGTAACATTAACTATAAATCTCCTACCTTTTATAATCAGCCCCTTTTCTAGAAAACACTTAAAATTTTAGCATCGCAAAAGATACAGTGATATATGATCCATTTGCAGAGTTAGGAAAAAGTAAATGAAGTATGGAGGGTTCATTTTCACAATTACTGTCAAAACCTCTAATTTATACTTATAAATAGATGCTTTTTTGTTAAGCATTTACAAATATTCAAACTAAGCAATTCTAGCATAACCAGTACTTGGTCTAAAAATATAATGCACACGGACATTTTATTTTGACCCAAATAGTCAAGTGACAAAGGTAGGTTGGCTAACTGAAATCTCAGCCTTATTTAGCACTATACTTGAAATTAAAATAAACACTGATTAAGAAAATATCCAAGAAATAAAATTCTAGCACAGGGTTTTTCAAATGGTAGGAGCCATAAAGTCAATTAGTAGATTTCAACCAATATTTTTTATTTAAAAAGAATAGAAAAAAATAGAATTTCAAGCTCAAGAAAGCAAGAGAGAAACACACACAAACACATATACTAGGCTGCAATGTAAGATCCATTTCTTTGAAGGTAGTGTAGAAAAATTTGAAAGTACTTTAAAATATAAAAATACTGTGATAAACCTCAATTTAGTATCTCAATAACATAAAGATTTCTTATTATACTGGCCTTTTAAAATGTCCTGTTAAAGACTCAAAACATAATTCTGCATGACTGCATGAAAAGTCTGACTCTGAGAGTTCAATTAACTCCTTCAGGATACAAGATACAGCACAGCTTTCCTAATACTGGTACCCTATTATATCAGGATGGTATAGTATTAGAGAACAACTGGGAAGATGCACAAAACCTGAAAATTGAAATGACAATTTCACCAAAACTTTATTAGGCAAATGTGCATGCTATAAAATTTCTCTCTGTACACATGGGGTCAGGCCCCATCAATACTAAAACTCTCTATAAACTAAATGTATCTACTAAGTGGAAAATTAAGAATGAACACCACTGAGGCATTCTTATAACCAGTGGCAGGACGCCAAGCCTGACTAATACAAAAGCAGTAAAATTAACTGAGACTCTTTCCTCTGAATTAAAAGCACAGCCTACTTAGAAGATGGTAATTTTTTTAATTCAATAGTTATGTCAGTTTTATTTTGATATCCAAATTAATTTAAGCTCATAGTTCAAGAAATACATTCTTCAAACTTAGTAAAATTGCTCATTTTTCAAACAGTTAACAATAAACTTTAAAAATACATATATTGTATCAAACTGTATGCATCATATTACCTCTGTCACTGAGCAGTAGAAGTTGGCTATAGGGTCATATGAAAAGAGTAATGATAAATGACAACAATTATATTAAAAGAGATATAACTGTCCTGTGTCTCAGGTCATCTCTGATGATGGAGTAGCCACACTGCTATTAAGGAATAAGGTGAACCAGAGCCATACTTCTAGCATTTAAAGAGATGTATACATTAAGAAATCACATGCCAAAAAGTCACAATCAAATTCTAGCTTGTCCCTCAATGTAATAGTAACAGTAGCCAACCAATTTTCAAAAGTCTAAAGTTAACTAACTTTCAAAAGCACACTTCAAACAGCTGAGAGGCAGAGAGACAGTTTCTTGGGGTAAATGACTTGTACAATGCAACCAAATCATTAGGGGGCAAGAATTAGAATTCTAAGCTTCGAGTGACTTGTCTTTTGTTAGCTCAAAGAGATGACCTGATACACAGGACAGAGAAACAAAAAGGTCAGACTAAAAGGCTAATGAAAGTCGGTAGGAGATAAAAGGTTGAAAGGGAATACTGCCCTGACCAGTGTGGCTCAGCTGAATGTTGTCCCTGCAAAGGTCACCAGCTGGATTTCTCCTGGTTAGGGCACAACGCCTGGGTTGCAAGCCTGATCCCAGGTCAGGGTGTGTGCAGGAGGCAAGCGATCGATGTTTCTCTCCCTTTCTTTCTCCCTCCCTTCCCTTCTCTCTAAGAATAAAATCTTAAAAAAAAAAAAAAAAAAAAGGAAGAAAGGGAATGTTGCTAGGTTCAGTATTACTGGGCTAAGACCTCCATTTAGAATGCCTAAAGGCATCCAGTTCTGCAGGAGATTGAACCTAAAGACCGTAACAAATGGGAAAACTTCTTCAAGACTATACTGAGCTATGCTGTAGAAATTAATGCTTCATCATCATTGAGAAAAATGTGTTAGTATCATTCTAAAAAAGTTCAATCCATTGTGATCTTTGTGGGGAAAAGCTGGAAAGCATCATTCACTCTTAAGTGTCAGCCAGTTAAGAACAAAAACCACTAATCATGTGCTGGACTGTGGTTTGCATTACATGGCTTTGACAAATGAACCATTCCAATCTTGTTTTGCTTAAACTAATATTACAACCTGCTTATATACTCAAGAGAGCAGGGGGACAGGGTGCTGGGTGCATAGGACAAGCTAAGCAAGTATGAAAGATTAATAAAGAAGAATTTACAAGATTTAGAAAAACAACCCATATGTGGGTAACTGAAGTTTTAATGCATTTTGATTAAATGAGGAAGTCAAATATTTTTCAAATAAAACAATAGGCAATGTAGATGTAAGTTAGGGTTCATCATTAATATCTTGCAAAAGCAAAGATATATAGTCCATTGTTCATTTATAATATTATATTTTATATTCGTTATATAATATGTAATCCATTATTCATTTTTTAATGTAAAAGTCTTTCTGAAAGAGTTACAGAAAACATTTTCTCCATGTGTCATGCACTATGTAAGAAATCAAGAAAACCACAGTACTAATTTTAGAGTTTCTTATTAGAGTATAAAATCTCTTTATTGGATGACTTCTAAATTCTTGGAAAGATATCACATAATTAGGGATTTAAAAGCATATAAAACATAAAATCTATCTTCAAGGAACTTATACTGTAGGACAAAAATGTAAAATATAGCCACAGATAAATATAACAGCTCCAAACTGTCAATAAGCAAATGTCAATAAATGGAATATAGAAATTAATTGTGGTATATTCATACAATAGATTATACAGCAACAGAATGAACAAATTGCAACTGCACACAACATAGCTCATAAATACAATGTTGGGAGAAAGAAGCAAGACACAAAACAGTGTAAACTGACTACGATTTCACCTAAATAAAATTCAAAAACAAGTAAAAGGTGCTTATGGTGCTATTGGGATAGCAGGTCCTTTAAGGGGAGGTCGTGGTGTAAAAGAGGCACAGACGGGGCTGCTGACGATGTTGGTAACGTTCCATTTCCTGATGAGAATGCTAGACATAAGGATGTGCTCATTTTATACAAATGGATGGAGCTAAACACTTATGACATGCAAATATATATGTATATTTCAATAAAGATTTTTAAAATTCCAATAAGAATATAATTGTTTATAGAAGGCCCACTGCAAGTAGGATAATTGAAATGTGTCACTGAAAAAACCACGTTAACGTGTAAACTTACGATCCCTACTTTCGGTGAGACTAAATGAAAAAGCAAAGCATGTTCATGTGACAAGTTAGTTCTTTAAAAAAAATTCCCTCCTGTGAAGACTATTATTTTAACAATGTTTCTAGTGGACCTTCCAATGGAAGAGTCATAGAACTACTGGTTTTTAGCTGTAAAAGGCCCTTAGAAAATGCAACTGCCACCCCTAAAAGAGCTAACTTAACAACTTTAGTAAGTTTCATTAAATATCTGGGATGCTAATAATAAGCTCCATGGGCAAAGTAGGAAAGGACTAAAGCCAAGATCTCAGGGGCAGTTCAGGGAGCTGTTGGTAGCTCAAAGGTGAGT